TTCATTCTTCTTTTTTTTCCTTTTCATTCTTCTTTTTTTTATTAACATTGTATCTATTTCCGAATAAAAACATCTGTATCCTAAATGGAAACAAATAGATACAATGTTTCAACCGCTGTACATGTGAAGGAACTGTCAGAGAACTGTCAGAAATAGCGGAGCTCTCTGCAGGGACACTTTTGCCGGCTGATCGGGAAAAATCCGATTTGCGCACCCGAAGTATGCTAATATTCGGATTCGCCGCGAATCGAATTTTTCCTGAAATTCGAAACTAATTCCACTTCGCCTGGTTCGATTCGCTCATCTCTACCCATGTTGTTGCAGTGCAAAAGGGGATGTGTTATTTCCCTAAATATTCTGTGATAAGAAGTGTTCCTCTTACTTGTTTCAGAAGTTTTGGAGTTATGTGTAACATTGTTTTTTAAGTACAGAACTAATTTTAATTGCATCACTTAGTTTATCCATTTTGGCTGTTTTGTAGCAACACTACATACACTGAAGAGCATACGAATGTTCATCAACTAAATACATTCATCAGAACAAAAGGGGTTCAATATCTTACAATGTGTTTCCTTTCCAAAGCAGCCACAGCCTGAGTAGAAAAGCCTGTTCTCTACCAGAATGCTGCAGAGTGGAAACCTTGCTCTCTTTGGGGAATCAGCAGTGTCACAGAAACCAGTGTGACCTGAGCCCTTGGCATACTATCTACACAGGACTATGCAAACCCTCCCTCGGATCTTTTGGAGTTACATAGAAAATCTCTGCTGCGTTCCCCTGGCATTATGTTTAAATCACCATTTGCTCATAGGGTTTGAATCAGGCATGAAGGAGGTAATTTTGGGACCTATTCCAGTTTTGTGAATAAAATTAACCTGGCTGACTCTAGGTGATAATCTCTAATTTCACTTATACACCTCCAGAGTCCAGACTGTTAGGTGGCAGAAAGGAACCCATTGTTCTCAGTCCTGTTTTACTCCAGCTTTGGTTCTGTCTGATGCGTGGGGTAAATTTGCTATCTACAGCCCTAACCTAATATACTGGTCTTGTCTGGTAATTAGGGAGATTTGGGCTGAAATTGCTATATTCTGGTTCCAGAGTGGGGGAAATTGTAGTTTGGCAGAGATACCCAGTTTGGGCATCAGGCAGTCTGTCAAATTTGGTGGCACCTGTGCGATCTGCTTTCTCCCTTTGAAACAATCAAAACTACCACTGGGATTATTGTTGAAGAGGAAAAGGAAATGGCAGCTGAATTTCAATGGAGACTGCAGGAAGCTCTGGCCCAGTTTGATGTCTTGGCAGAGGGTGAGCTGGACTGGAAGGTTGTGATTCGAATAGAACTATGGAACAATGCCCTCAAGGAGGGTTAGGTTCTCCGGGAAGAATTACTTCCAACCGTAGAGCAGGGATTTTGTGAATACCTTGAATTGTGGATGCAGTTCCTGGGAGAGAAACCTCTGGATGAATGGGTGTCAGAATTAGAAAAGTTGGCCCATAGGGAGGTATGGCTGGACGAAGCGTACCGGGCCTTATAATGGTATACAGTACAGATGTACCCATGGCTGGCTGATGACGTCCCTCCAGATTGTGAGGATTATGGTGACCCTAGTCTATTTTGGAAAGCCTTTGAGGACATTAACCACTTGCCTGCCGGGTACATTCACCCCCTTCCTGCCCAGGACAATTTTCAGCTATCAGTGCTGTCACTCTTTGAATGACAATTGCGCACTCAAGCAACACTGTAACCATATGAAATTTTTATCATTTGTTTGAGACAGATAGAGCTTTCTTTTGGTGGTATTTAATCATCTCTGGGTTTTTATTTTTTTGCTAAACAAACTAAAAAAGACTGAAAGTTAAAAAAAAAACATTTTTCTTCGTTTTTGTTATAAAATTTTGTAAATAAGTAATTTTTCTCCTTCAGTGATGAAGCTGCAGTGATGGGCACTGATAGGCTGCACTGATAGGCACTAATGAGAAGGCACTAGTAGGTGGCACTGATGGGCATTGACAGGCATCACTGATGGGCACTGAAAGGCAGCACTCATATATGGCACTGATAGGCAGCACTGATGGGCACTGATAGGCAGCACTGACTGGCACTGTTAGGCGGCACTGACGGGTACTGATAGGTGGCACTGATATGTGGCACTGATTGGCAGCACTGATAGGCAGCACTGACTGGCACTGATAGGTGGCACTGACTGGCACTGATAGTTGGCACTGAAAGGCAGCTGAGATGGGCACTGATATATGGCATTGATGTGCACTGGTAGGCACTAATATGTGGCATTGATGTGGCACTGAAAGACACTGGCAGGTGGCATTGATGGGCACTGGCAGGTGGCATTTATGGACACTGACAGGTGGCACTGATGGGGCTACACTAATCATCAAGGCACTGATCATCAGTGCCCTGATGGTCAGTGTACATGTCCCCTCTGAGGAATGCCGATTACCGGCTCTCCTCTCCTCTCGAGTTGTCAGTATGACAGACCATGAGGAGAGGAATGCCAATAACTAGCATTTCCTTATTTATATGTAATCAGCTGTGATTGGACACAGCTGATCACATGACAGAGCCGACGTCATCAGCTCTTTCCACTGATCGGTGATCTGCTGATGTCCTCCCAGAACGAGAGAACCGTTGCCTGTCCATCATTTCCTTATATGGTGGGCGGGAGGCGGTTAAAGAATTCGGGAGTGCTGAGGAGTTTCACTACTGGGACATCTGGGACAATCAAGAGTGTCTGCTGGATCTATTAGAGGCAATGGAGCTGACACCAGATCTGACCCATCTGGCAAACTTGGAGTGGGAATTTGAGCAAGCCTACATTAGATTGTTTCATACTATACACCAGCAATGAAGGGAGCTAAAAGAAGAAAGTGCCAGTGACCTCTTTGCCCAGCCACAGATCCCAGAAAGCTTGGATTTAATTGACTTTTCATCAGAGGATGTAACATTTACTGAGCTTCCAACTGAAGTGCTTGCAACAGGGCAGATCTCTGCTAGCCTCTGCCAAGCATCGGTAACATCTCCTGGGTTCCAAGGACAGGAGATAGTGAGACTCTATCTTCAGCCACCAGCTCTAGAGATGGGGGTTTAACAGACTTTTTTTGCTGAGGAGGGACAACCCAGTGAACCTCCAGCAGAAGAGTTGGCATCCAGGCAGATAGCTGCTGGTCTCTACCTACAACAATTGATGGCTCTGGAGGATTTGTACGAGGCCACAACATTTACATTTTACTTCCTAGCAGAAGAGTTGGCATCAGGGCAACCTGACCTCTGCCCAGCACCAACAGCATTTCTGGAGCTCCAGGGAGCCAGTGAATCAAGCATGAAGGAGTTCATTTGAATCAAGCATATGAATCAAGCATGAAGGAGTTCATTCTGGGACTTATTCTGGTTTAGTGGATAATGGGATTTTTGGGTGACTCTAGGTGACAATCTCTAACTTCACTTAATCACCTGCAGAGTTCAGACTGTTAGGTGCCAGAAAGGATCCCATTGTTCTGAGTTTGATTGTTTGATTATGTGATTTAATTTAGTCCTGATTTGTGTAATACTTGAAGGTTTTTTGTGTATAAATATTCTATGGTTTCCTAATAAAGTCAGTCCTGTTTACTCCAACATTGGTTCTGTCTGTTGCTTGGGGTAACTTTGCTATCTACAGTCCTAATCTATATACTGGCCCTGTCTGGTAATTAGGGAGAATCAGGCTGAAATTGCTATATTCTGGTTTCAGAGTGGAGGAAGCTGTAGTTTGGTGGAGATACCCAGTTGGGGTGTCAGGCAGTCTGTCACAAGCAGTCTCTCTGCAAAGGTCTGACATGCCCCGCAACCCCCCCCCCCCCCCCACACACACACACGCACACTCATATAGGCCTCAGTGCTGACACGCATTACATATTACACAGGCTAGGTCCTCTGTTGTCACTGTCAGGAACCCCTTGCTTAGAGATAACAAGTAGACATGAAGTGGCTGCAAAGAAATGAAGGCGGCAAGAGAGGAAAAAACGTGAAAATTAGTATTTTGTTTCAAAAACATACATAGAATTGGTCATGATATACAGTGCCTTTGTGAAATAAATGTAATTCAGTTAAGGTTTATATGTACTTTTCAGTACTGGAACGATCTCTTCTGGAGTATTCATTACACTATTTATCTAATGCTATTCCAGCTTTTATTATCGATAAAATCCTATTTGAATGCAAATGAAACCCAGGCTTGGTAAGTGATTTTCACTGGGGTCAGGATGGGTTCACGAGACACAAGTTATTACAGGGATGTCCAGCAGAACATTTACAGTCAGGATTAACAAGTAATTAGATGACCTTGTACCTGCTTGGTTGAGTGTGGTCTTGCAGTAAGTGGTGTTTGAGCACAAAGCAGTTCTTCAGGCCTTGTCCTCCAAAGCCTAACTCCGTATTTCTGTACGTTCTGGTAAACCCTGTTGACCTACTGCATATAAAAATACATTTCGGGAACTAATTTAAGCAGTAGTAGTAAGTGGGAAATTTGTGAAGGCTGCCATACATATTCTGCAGGGCAGTGTAGCTGGAGTGCAAAGTGTAGTAATCCATAGCAGCATATTAGATTGCAGCACGCTGAAGACAAATTCTGGGTAATTGCAGTTTGCACATTGTTCTTTGCGTTTTTGAATAAACCCTGACTCTCATATTGTAACATTAGTTTATTACTGGTTAAAAAAAATGCCTAGCCTTATGAACAAGCACATACAGTCAGGTCCATAAATATTGGGACATCAACACAATTCTAACATTTTTGGCTCTATACACCACCACAATGGATTTAAAATGAAACAAACAAGATGTGCTTTAACTGCAGACTGTCAGCCTTAATTTGAGGGTATTTACATCCAAATCAGGTGAACGGTGTAGGAATTACAACAGTTTGCATATGTGCCTCCCACTTGTTAAGGGACCAAAAGTAATGGGACAATTGGCTTCTCAGCTGTTCCATGGCCAGGTGTGTGTTATTCCCTCATTATCCCAATTACAATGAGCAGATAAAAGGTCCAGAGTTCATTTCAAGTGTGCTATTTGCATTTGGAATCTGTTGCTGTCAACTCTCAAGATGAGATCCAAAGAGCTGTCACTATCAGTGAAGCAAGCCATCATTAGGCTGAAAAAACAAAACAAACCCATCAGAGAGATAGCAAAAACATTAGGCGTGGCCAAAAACAACTGTTTGGAACATTCTTAAAAAGAAGGAACGCACCGGTGAGCTCAGCAACACCAAAAGACCAGGAAGACCACGGAAAACAACTGTGGTGGATGACCGAAGAATTCTTTCCCTGGTGAAGAAAACACCCTTCACAACAGTTGGCCACAACAGTTGGGAAACCAGATCAAGAACACTCTCCAGGAGGTAGGTACCACCTCATCAGTAGTGTGTGGGCATGTCAAAGTATTTAGCTGACAAAAGCAGCAGGATGAATCAAGAGAAGACTTCACCAGAGTGAATACAGCAAAACATGAGGGGATTCACCACAAATCTAGGAGGGAAACCTGTGGGGGATTGGTGAGCCTGGGGTAGGCAAAAACAGGGTGCGCCTAAAGGCTGATGGGTTGGGGCAGGGATTAGAGTTGGGTGCCAAACGACATCTAAAAAAGCCTTGTGACAGTTCTGGAACAACATCCTATGGTGGACAGATGAGACCAAGATTTTGAATTTGATCCGTTGTACCAGAGTGATGGGAACAGAGAAAGAGTATGTTCAGGAGGAAGAGGGGAAAGGAACTGCTCATGATCCTAAGCATACCACCTCATCAGTGAAGCATGGTGGTGGTAGTGTCATGGGGGGTGGTGTCGTGGGCATGTATGGCTGCCAATGGAACTGCTTCTCTTGTATTTATTGATGATGTGACTGCTGACAAAAGCAGCAGGATGAATTCTGAAGTGTTTTCGGGCAATATTATCTGCTCATATTCAGCCAAATGCTTCACAACTCATTGGACGCCGCTTCAACAGTGCAGCGTTGGAGGCTTTGTGACGGAGAAATCAATGGGGGGTGGTGTCCGGGCTGGGGGGGCAAGACAAGAAACTGGACAATGACCCAAAGCATACTGCAAAAGCAACCAAAAAGTTTTTTTCAAGGGAAAGAAGTGGGCCCGATGTTATGCAATGGCCAAGCCAATCACCTGACCTGAATCCGAGAGAGCTGAGCATGCAGGAGGGGGTTCACTGTGCTGGAAGGACAAAACTGAAGGGAAAAGATGCCCCAAAGAACTGCAAAAGCAACAGGAACTGAAGACAGTTGCAGTAGCAGGCACTGGCAGAGCATCACCAAGGGATGAAACCCAGCATCACCAGGGATGAAAACGTCTGGTGATGTCTATGCGTTCCACACTTCAGGCTGTAATTTATTGCAAAGGATTTGCAACCAAGTATTAAAAAGTGAAAGTTTGATTTATGATTATTATTCTGTCCCATTACTTTTGGTTCCTTAACAAGTGGGAGACACATATGCAAACTGTTGTAATTCCTACCCGGTTCACCTGATTTGTTTGTAAATACCCTCAAATTAAAGCTGGCAGTCTGCAGTTAAAGCACATCTTGTTCGTTTCATTTCAAATCCATTGTGGTGGTGTATAGAGCCAAAAATGTTAGAATTGTGTTGATGTCCCAATATTTATGGACCTGACTGTATATACTATTCACCTATGCCATTTTGAGAATGCTTTGTATTCATTGAGAAAATGAAAATTGTTCCTTGCATGGCACCTGTGATGAGTGAGCAACCTCCTGTGTTCACTTAACAGCAGACAGCCACTTGGCACAGGACCCAAAAACTAGTGGAGGGCACTGTAGTAGTGGTGTTGACTACGGTGATTTTCAGCTTCCATAGTGATTCCACAGGTATGACACATACATACTTACATTGGTCCTAGCTGGGTAACACAGTGGCTAAGTGGTTAGCACTTCCGCCTAGCAGCACTAGGGTCATCAGTTCAAATCCCAACCATGGCACTACCTGCCTCAAGTTTGCATGTTCTCCTTATGCCTCCAACATGCTGGTAGATTCATTGGCTCCTGTCTAAATTGGCCCTAGTAGGTGTATGTATGAATGTGAGTTAGGGACCTTAGATTGTACGCTCCTTGAGGGTTAGGGACTGATGTGAATGTACAATATATGTAAAAAGCTGGGTAAATTAATGGCGTTATTAAGTACCTGAAATAAATAAATAGAATAAAAACAATGTAAAAGTTGCCATACTGAAACTGCAGCTTCAAGCCTAGGTTCAGATATGTGTGGGTCGGGAACACATGCTTAATCGTGCATGTTCCAGATCCACAGGTAAAATGTACTGCTCTTTATCAGAAGCATGGGGATGCTATTCATTCATTTTCGCATCCACATGCA